AACAAAGAGCAGTACATCCTGCTGTCCTGTTTTACAGATTCATATGCCACACTCCAGCTTGCTTGTTTTGGGGATATCCTGCAACCCTCTCAATGGTTTTGGCGGTCTTCCTGATGTCTTTTATTCTTGCAGGCATATGTGACCATACTGCTTGCCAGCCTGCAGCTTGTATGATTTTTAGCCCATATTTGTCACTCATGACCTACATCTCTTCACAATATCTGTCCTTGTCTTCCTGTGCTGCTCTTAATATGCATTATGTGTACTTTTTTTTCTCCTTGATACTTGCATTTTTAACCTACATAGGTACATGGACTAGGGGGTGGGAAGGGAAGGAGGCTCTGTTATGCAGGGAGGCACCTATAGCTGCCACCCACTTGATGCTGATCCATAATTACTGAGGTGTTGAACAAGAACATGGTATCCCTTGCATTCCCTGGCTTCCTTTCTCACCTTTTCAGATTGTTACTGAAATTGTAAAGTACCTGTGACATGCCTTGAATTTTGGAAGGTCACATCTGAGTGAGTCCAAAGTCGTATCCACAAGGAGAAGAGATGCAGTCAGATGGGGAGAAGGGATTGGGCTCAGAAGTGTAGCCCAGACAGTAATTAGTCTCTACCTAGAATCAACTCTGCTCAAACTTATTTTGTGACACAGCAGGATTTTGTGGTGTGGTATCTAAGCACAGTAGTGAGGCTGACAGTTTTTGGAGGGCCAGACAAGTGATCTGTTTCCAGGGAAGACTTACATCCTGTGACTTGACTGTTCTTGTCTGCAGGATATATGAAAGCATGTGATTTGGAGAGGGGGGGGGGGGGGGGGGGGGGGAGGGGTGGGGTGAGCATCGAGTCATATGATGCTGTTCTGGTTTAAGATAAGACAGCTGTATTGCCCTTGTTTCACTTTGAATATGAGGATGTTAATTCAGGGGGCTTCCTTATTTTTTATAATGTCAATATTTGAGCAGGATATTGCATTCTTTTTTTCAAAAGGTGCTTTCTGCTTTCACTAATAGAACAGACTGAGTTATTTAATAACGCAGGTCCAACAGAATAAATGTTTTTCCTCAGTGGTCGCTATTTAAGTTGAGTTTAGTGAAGAAAATTTGCAAGGTTGAAAGTGTGTGAGGTAACATGTAGGAGCCATTGGGGGTATTCAGCTGTATTCAAAACCACCAGTTTAATTATCTGTACAGCTTCTGCTAAACAGAATTTGCACCCTTAAGGAAGTATTGGCACTGTCCAGAACCAGATGTCTATTTTACTGTAGGGAGGAAACTTTGGAGTAGTATAAGGGTGCAGCTACATGAACAAGTTTTTCCTGAGATGAGCTGAAGGGTGTTTTGTAGGTTGTTAAATTTTCACAGTATCTATCACTGGGCACTTCTCAACATGTGGTAAATACAGAGTAGTTTACTCTGTGTAACTGCAGGAAAAGTATACCGTGGAGTAGCTGGTAGACAGTAAATCAGCAGCCTACCTTACCTCCCAGTGCGAGGTCCGTGTAACTGTACCCTGAGGCTTTGTCTGCGCTGTACTGGTGACTAACTGAATTCAGGCACCTTGTTTTCTCATGTGGTTTAGCAAGTTTGGTGCAGTTGGGATCGAGTCAAAAACGTGCCTTTTAAAACGTTCAGCAATGCTGATGTGGCTGGCCATTCTTACTAACAGGTTTGTCTAGAAATGTGTTTAAACAGAGTGTAAACCTTTATCATTTTACAGTTTATAAGCAGGCTGACATACGTTCGGTTCTTGCTTTGAACCCATTTGTCACACACGTTCTTCTGTTCATTTATGCTCGATGAGCAAAACAGCAGCCACTCTTTGGTGGAAACAAGTAAACGTGATTTATCTAAACTGTTAAAAGCATGGGCTGTTTCACATGGGATAAGTGTTTCAATTCACTTTGTTTTCTGTCTTTGGCAATGGCTCTGTACCAGATGTACTGGAGAAAGATGTAACAGCACGTGTAATAAGCTGTTATGGAACAGCTTTCCCACAGATGGATCTTCTCAATGCGTCCTCTTCATCAACAGTCTCCTAAAAGCAGTGTAAAATGTTAAGAGAAGGTACCCATAAACATTTAGGCATGATTGCGTCACCTACTGCCTGGTGAAGACCGTTTGTGTGCCCGGTTGAGGTATGAATATATTGGCCTTCTCCATTAGCACTCCCTGGAATGGTGTTCCAGTCAAACGATCCCACTATATTGCAGCCAGTAACCGGCTGTTACCACAAACACGAGGGCAGCTGTTTTATGTAGGGTGATGGAGACTTGCTTTAGCTCATATAGTTAAGGGTGGAAAGACTCCAGTCTGTGTTTCCTGGTCCAAATTCTGACTGAGGCTGTGAATTATATTTGAAGTGACTATATTTGGTTACTTTAATTAAAATACTTTTATGTATGAAGAGGAGCATTATTTGAAGAATAAAAAAATAAATAATAACAATAAAGAATACGGAACCCTTCAACCATTCAGTCACTCCCCAGCTGAATTAGAAAAATTGTTATTAGCTAGCTGCTCACAAGCTTTTGTTAAGCATTTGATATCCATTGGAAATCAGCTCAAGATCAGTACCTGGGTTGTCAATGAGTGCCACACAAAATAAGGCTGGAGCCCTTTTTTCAGACTTGCAGATGCCAATGATTTAACAGTCACACAGTAAACTCCTCCCCAGGCGTGTTTGCTGTGCTTGTTCTAGGGCTGCTCTCTGTAGGCTTGTCATCCCATCCCAGTGCCTTTTGACAGGAGATTTATTTCTGCTTTTATTTCCTTTGGGATGGTTGGAGAAATAACCGCAATCATTCCTGCAAACCCCTCTGATGTTCTTGTGGTCACTTTTAAATCCTGAAAGTAATATTTTTAAATATTGTTGGATCTTGTGTTTATATCTTCTGGGTTAAAACTTCACACTTCTAAATAAGCTTAACCTTTCTATAAATAATGCAGTTCAAAAGAATGCTTATGAAATGGCTGACTTGCCACATTTACTTGTTGCTTTCCGGGCAATAGACTGGGCATGAGATCATGGGAATTTACTGTTGTGCTTATGAAAGCTGAGCTGGTTGGAGAAGGATGCCATTGGTATTTGGTAGCTGAGCACTTGAAGAGAAACCTTCTCTTTTAAAAAATACGTGGTGGCCTCCAACTCAATGAGGTAAGCTGTTGCCCAGCACATTCTTGAGCTCCTTGCTGCTGGAGTAGCCTGCTGCAATGCGTACTGGCCCATAATTTACTTAAAAGATACTTTCCTGTGTCTTATAAGTTGCAAAATCTGGTGGCAGTAGGCTTTTAGCCTTGAAACAAAGTGGAAGAAAAGGAGGAAACAGTGAGTTCAAAGCTGGAGGCGGAGGTAAAGTCACTGCTGTGGATTTCTTCTTGAGGACTTCGGGGTATCATCTTTGTCACCAATGTTCCTTCCCCGTTTCTCTTACAAACCTGAGATGTGTATGTTCTGGTGAGGTGTCCCCCCCCTCAGGGGAGAAGGTGCAATGAGGTGAAGGCTGGCAATCATAAATAAATAAGTATTTGGGATATCAGGATGAAATTAAGGTGTCCTCCAAAAAGAGAGGAATGCAGAAATCTAGGAAGGGCTGGAAGGGAAGGAATCACAGGAAAGTGATTTGGGAAAACCTGAGTCAGCTCGGTTCTGTTGAAGCCCATGGGAAACGGCTCTTGGACCACAGTGAAGATAATGAGGAAGGAATGCCAGAAAGACTATTAAACTTGAATAAAAAGTAGTCGAGTATATGCTTGCTGTGGCTCCCATCCACAGCCTGCTGTACAGTTGGACTCTGTACAGTTCTGTATTTTGTTTAAAATAATGACACTTCATCCTTTATTTTTCAATAAGCCATGACCGTGGATTCATTTTTCACAGTATGAAAATTTTACAGAAAAATTTTGGTTTGAGTGTGTTACCAATATATTTTTTCCACATCTGTCTGATACCTGAATTAGTTCACAGATTTATGTCTAGCAGCAGCATGTCTTAGGTCTGTACTTATGTTGCAAGTAAAATTAAAAGCAAACAAATTTAGGAAGGGTAAGAGGAAATACGAACAAGTACATTCTTGTTTCAGGGATACAGGAACTAGGAGTGTCCTGTGTTTCATTTGTTACTTTAACAGAATCATCTTACTCATCTTCATCAACTCTGTAGGTCTTGTTCTTACTACCCTTCCTGTGTCTCTGTGAGGCATTTCCAGAAGGGTGTTTGTGTGTGTTGAGGTGGAGCAGAACTTCTGAACTTCTCCTTGCCTGCCAAATAAAAAAAAAATAAAATAATTTCTTCAGCAGACTTCTCAGTTCTCTTGCCATGAAACTGAGACATTTTGTCTGGCTGTAGTGGCATCTGCATCTTGCTCTTTGGCATGACCTTCCCCTGGTTCTGGGCTGTACTTTGCAGGCAGAGGTGGAAAGGGGCAGAAGGAGTAGTGTTTTGCAGCTGGGGTTGTGCCTCTTGGGCAGACCTTGTGCTTGGCAAGTCCCCATGTCAGTAAGTCCCCGAGCAGCGCAGCAGTGGTACCACACCTCTCTTGCTTCATGGCCCACATACCACACACTTGCTCTGTATCACGAACCAACATTTTGTATCCCATATATCAACATTCACTTTAATTGAGGGCTCTGCTCTAGCTGAGTGTGTTGAAAGAATCTCAGGTTTAATTAAAATAATTTAGGACTAGACAGTTTAATGAGGTTTTTTTCAGAATTGATTTTCCCTGCCTGTCCCTACCCTCCCTCCTCCCAGGTGGTTCTGGATGAGGGCAGGTGCCAAATCATAAGCAATGAATTATAATAGGCTTTTTAAAGAAAAGGGATGTGTTGGGGGATTTTAGGTATTTGCTCACTGCGTGGCTCTAGTGAACCAGCTCTGCATCATGTGGCAAGCTAAAGATGAAGGCGCTGCCTGACATGCAGCAACTGGGCACATAAGAGGAAAAAACCACAACATGAAGGAAGGTGGTGGAAACTTGCCTTTGCATATAATCCGAAATGCATGGTAATTGATTGCAGGTGCTCTCGACCTGTGGGTTGTAAACAGAAATCAGGAAATTGCAACTGCACTGCCCTTCCTGTGTTGCTCAACGGCAGGGGAGGGGCAGCCAGGGAGGGAGAAGCCTGGGAGCCGCTGCTTGGTGGCTGCTGCTGCACGAGAAGGCAGCCGTGGTGCCTATCCATCACTTTGCTAGTAGGTCTGGTGCAGGGCCAAGAGGGCTGCGAGGGTCATCTTTGTTTCTGCAGCTCCCTCAGTGCACAAGCACATGTGTGCACGCACACTGGTGGTTAATTCTCCCCACCTGCCCCCTTGCAAAAGAAAAAGCAAGGTGCTTGCCTTGGTCCAAGCAGTGTGCCTGTTCTTAAAGGCTTTCTTGGGCTTTAGAAGCATGTATTTGCGGATAAATGATGGTATTGAGTGTCAAGTTTTTTAAAAAAAAAAAAAAATTTCAGGAGCTATACCAATCTAGATTTTAAGTTGGCAATCTTGGCTTGCTGCACAAGAGCCCGTAAAACTCAGCTTACTAGTGGTGCTGCGTATGTAAAAGTCCAATAAAATGCGTGAGGTTACTTGGCTGGGTGGTGTAAGCCAGTGATCAGGGGCCCTGAAGAACTGGAAGGCCGTCTTTGTTAATGAAAGCCCTCTTTGGTAGCTATCATGTCTGGTTTAGAAGCACAACTGGAAATGGAGGGGAAAAAAATGGGAATTTTTTAAATGAAGAATGATTGGATGAGCACTTGTAAAATGATGATGAGGATAAACCTCTTGTAAAACACAGCTGACACCTCATTTGGTGCAGTGAAAATAGTGAATGCCTCTGGCAGAGAAGGAAGATGGTGATGTGGAAATAAGGGCCTCTATTTAAGGCTGTAAATAGCAAATGAATTGATCAGTGCTGATGGAAGTGAAGGTGATTGTCTGGTGTCTCGCCGGGTGGTGGGTGCTCTGGAGAGAAGGAGTGTGGGTGGGTGCTCCTGGCGAAGGGATGCCTTACAAAGCAGCAGGAGGCTGTATCGGCAAGAGTCAAACACTGTTGGCAGCCGGCATTGTGCACTTGTTAATGGTGGAAGCATCTGCAGAATATTGACCTGAATTTGTAATTCGTGTGCTGCTCCCCATAGGGGTTTGGGCCCTTGGTCTCCCTCCTCTGAACAAGTTTTCATGTTCTGAGTAGGGAAATCGAAGGAGTTTTGTGTGGTGGTAAGGTATTAGGAAACCAGGGTACCTGAAGGTGCCTCATATGAGGTGCCTCATTAGTTATTTCTGATTGATTATGCTACACAGACATCTGTTTTCTGGCTACTGTTGGGCAGAAAGGTAATAAATGCAGTCCTGATCTGCAGTGAATTTGGTAGAAGTTTCCTAGGTTAAATTATTTTCTTCCGCAGACTCAGATGGGGACCAGCAGGTGAGGAGGAGAGTGATTCACTCGAGAGAAGTGGGGACGTTCTCCCCCATTTAGTTTCCAGGGGGCAGCAAGGGAGGGCATTAGCTCTGCACAGCTATAGCTGTAAAAATGATGAGTTGGTTGCTCAAAAATTGCTACAAGAAGTGAACTACATTCTTAGTTTGTCTCTCTCAGATGGTGTCTTGTCTCACACTATGATTTCTACTTGCCTACACAAAACGCACCTTTACAGAAATGTACCATAGTTATCCTAAAATTAGAGCAAACAACAACTTGCTGTTGAAATGGGAGGCTCTGTTTTGCTGTTTTATGTATGCATTTGTGAAAGAGAGTCTCTTGAAACCAAAACTTTCCCTGTTGTTCTTCCAGACACGGTTGAGTCCATGCTTTCAGACTATGACATCCTTTCTCAGTCTAGCATCCAGCAACACTCACTGAAGAAGAGGGACCTCCAGCCTGAGACACACCTAGAGAGGCTCTTAAGTTTTTCAGCCCTGCAAAGGTAATTAAATCATCAGCAATGAAATAGCATAATATTTTCCTTCAGTTTGTGGTGAGTAATGCACAGTTCCAAACCCAGAAATAGTTATCTTGTTTTTCTGTCATGACTGGCCAGTTCTTCTGAGTTAGTGATCTGCATGGTTATATGACTTCAGAGAGGCTCAGAGGAAACAGAAAAATAAGTTGCATTGTATTACTTTGTTTGCTGAAGTGGCAGTGATTTAAGATTTCTTTTGCTTTGTTCTTGGCTTTAGTTTCATGTAGGTTACTTCCGCTGATTGGGTTGGGTCCCACTTATACCTCATCTGGCAACATTGTCATACTTCTTGACTGTCCTCTGGTTCTTGAAAATCTCTGCCTTCAGTTTGGGGAGTGCGTGTGGTGTGTTGCCCAAGAGATTTACTGTATTTTTTTCATGGAGGTTTAATCCTCTTCCTACTGAGTGTAAATTTCCCATTCAAGAAAACACTTCTTTTAATAATTTTTTTATAAGATGGGAAATAGAAGCACAGGTGAAAGGGGAAGGAGAGGTAGAAGAGAGCAGGCATGAGGGTTGTAGGGATTTTATTCCGAGTGTCAGAAAAGTGCCTTACAGGTATTTGAGTGCTGACATTGTGAGTCTGAAATGGGGGAGCAGGGTGAGAATAATGCTTTATATTAACAATTTTAGGTTGATTTTGTTCTGACATCTTTGCCTACTGTGTTCTCATGTGCCTTCCCCATCTGTCATGTACAACTACAACTGTCATGCAAGTTGTGCATATTTTTTGAACCTCTAAATGTTTGGAGGGGGTAATTTTTAAGTAGCAAGTATAAAAGGTCAGTGGGATCAAATATCTGCACTGCCTGTTTTGCACTGCCTCGTGCACCCTTACTTTATGGTGAGGTTGCAATACTGCCAATGATAATTACAGAATAATTGCAGAGGGGCATACCAAAAATCTTTGACCCAAAGCCCACATAAACCAAGAGCCCATGAAGCTCCTTCCAGAGAAGGTTCTCTACTTACTTCTTGGGATAGCCTTTAGTTTTTGTGACAATTTATTGTAAAAATCTACAGAGTTCAGATTTCTGTTTATGGTCTTCTGACAGTATTACTTCAGAAAATAAGAACTTTAAGATAATTTAATTTAAAATAGATGAACAAATTCCTTGGTCTGATTTTCTTTAAATAGTTACCAGTAACTGGTTTTGCTTGACTACAAATGGAGAAGGTGCATCATGAACAAACTGTGACTGTTTTGGATTTTGGGGTTTATTTGTTGTTTTTTTAATTAAACATCTTTGACTCTTTAAAAATATTTAGAGTTATGAATTATGCAGTGTATGTTTTTGTAGCCAGCTTATCAGAATTAATGCTTTCTAACTTCTTTCGGACCCTCAGTAAAACGGAGACTGGATGTATCTGTTATGTGTATACTTTGCCTAAAAATAAATGGAAGTAAATTCTTTTACAGGCACTTTAAATTATACTTAACTGCAACTGCTGAACACTTTTCAGAAAAATTTCAAGCATTAATTGTGGATGGTGAAGGCAAGGAAAATGAGTATCGTGTTCAATGGCAAGACTTTTTCACTGGACATGTCGTTGGTTAGTATGGACAAGACTGTGTGTCAGTGCTGAGAAAGCACAGCTTTGCCTGAGTCTCTTGGCCAAAGTAAATGGTGTATTGGCCTCATTTTCATCAGATATGGTTAGGATGAACAAGTAAACTTAATTCTCATGCCCCTCAGGTTTCCTAGTTTTGTTTTTGAGGAGTTTTTGTGGTGGGTTTGGGGTTTTTTTTTTAGGTTTTGTGAGTGGTAGGGTTTTTTTGAGCTATTGCACCAAGGTTCTAAGATAGGACTCTTCTGTTTAGTTTGGCAGAACACAAAGGTATAATTTACTCAAGCAGCAGCTTGTCTTTTTTTTTTTTTTTTAAATGATGGTCGTGGCTTTAATTCCAACTGGAATGTAGGACTTGAGTGTTCCTTGTCCCAGAACACAAAGCCCAGGTAGTTAGTGGTGATGCAGTGTTGCCCAGATTGTTATATTAAAAGACTTAAGATGGTTCTTTGCAGACTACTTTTCTGTAAAGAAAGGGTATCTTGCTCCACTTCAGTCCAACACTAATGTTTCCGCTACGTTGTTTTGGTTTTTACATTGCCTTTGTGATGTGGTGAATGTCTCTTCCACTGGAATGCGGGCTGACGCCATGAAACTGCTATCTGATAGTAGTAAGATACAAGCTGCTTTTGTTGGCAGAAATATTGTGTCCCATTACTAACCCCCACAGCCATCTCAACACCTTCTGCAAAATTATCAGTTAAATCTGAGTATTGATGGCTATGACCACTGAAAAGTTAAGGTTGGGGGGAGTGCTTGTTCATTTCTTTTTTTCTTTAAACTGGACAGTATAGTGTTCTTCAGGGACTGAGGAAGACAATTTGGCTTGAAGTTTAGAAACAGTTTGAAAAAAAAACAGCGTCTGTGCAGGAGTGCATGCAAATAGAGCTGAATTAATTTCATTTTTCCTTGCTTATGTTAAAGGAGAGCATAATTCCAAGGTTGTGGCACATATTGGGGATGAAGACTTTACAGTAAGAATCAATACTGATGGAGAAGAATACAATATAGAGGTAACACTTTACTGTTGAAAGCAATATTCAAACAATCATCTCTTTTCCCTGTGGGTGTTTCTCTTTCTAGTTAGTCACATTGACACCTCTGTAGCTCAAAATAGACTTGGTGGTGGTGTTTGTTTTGTTGAGAGTAGGGAGGAGGGAGAGAAATGTGAAACCAATTTGACTTTTGCAAGTGTAGAGTTTTATTAGTGAGTGACATTCTCTGACATTTGCATGTTTTAGATACATCAGGGAGAAGGTATGTTTTAAACAGGAAAGGGGTTTAGAAACAGAAATGGTATAACATTAGTAATTAGTGGTGATCATGTCCTCTAGAATAACAAACTGTGCAGCCTTCTGAGCAGAGTTGAGGTCTGTTGAGCTTTCTAAAATTTTGGCTTTGTTACATCTTGGAATTTTTCCCGTTCTTAAAGCTTTATTTGAAAATCTGGTATTTTCCCCTGCTCCCTTGTTTCTGTTTTTCACCATTTTTGTTGCTTCTGTTATTTTAAACTGTTGGTTTAAAAAAATATTCAACAAATACATAATTAGAGACTATCCTAATGAGTTGTTCAGTGCAGTATATTCCCAGATGTAAGCTGTATTAGAATGGCTGAATAACAGTAATTGTGGTTGTTACGTGGATACTGTAATTGTCTTCAAACATAAGGATATGCAGAATTATGGGTAAACCTGGGAAATCCGGTCATATTAAAGTATGAAAATGTGATTGAAACACCCAAACCACTGTGCTCGTGTTTTGCATTAAGAGCATATAGTAGCCATTTGATTGTGGTTTAAAGCATTTTTGTGTTTGTGGTCCAGAGTAATGTAAGCATGTCTCAGTTCCCCATGCAGCCAACCCCCTTGCTTCTCACTGGCTGTGTCTGTACAGCTAAATAAAGGCAGGCAATGGCTTGGAGGCTCTGGCTTGTCCACACTGCCTAGCTGTTAGCATCCTAGGGTCAGCTTCGGCCCCTAACCAGCCCTGGATGAGATGATGCCTGTGTGCAGTCAGAGATGGTGTGTGCCGGAGACCATCCTGCTGTTGCCTTCCTTTGCTTTCATGGTCCTCCTGCACCATTCGGAAAGTTGCGGACCTTCGTATAAACCCCTGGTGCCCTCGTGCCTTGCCCTAGGATGCAAAACGTGCCCTCAGTTTTGCACTGTAGACACATGGCTGCAGGGCCAGCACAGCCTTTGCATTTCAGGACCTTTTCTCGGTGAACCAAAAGCACAGTATGCTAAGTAATAGTTGTCTGAAGTTGAAAGACCACTGCCTAAGGGCCAGAGGAGACCCAGACCCAAGTGCTCTGCAGTATGGACGTGGGTGGTCTGTACTACTTGGCCTTGCCCAGAGAACAGACCCTGGCCATGTTGTATTTGGTGGTGGTGCTGTAGCTGTTATGTACAGACAATAATAGGGATGTGTTGGTTAAAAAAAAAAAAAAACATGGTCAGTATACATCTGCTATGGGAATTAGGAAGACTGTGGGACTTCATGGTTTTCTTGTTTTCTTTGCTTTTGGAGAAATTTTCATGCTTATAAGTGACTCGGGTAGCTATTGAACGTTGAAGAGCCTACCTTCTGCTGTGAAGCCTGCATTCTGCTGTGCACTTAGATATTCTCTGTTATCTGCCAGCTCCTGCGCTTCTGGTCAGTGCATTTGTTGTTATAGTCTAAGCATCTCCTCCCTGGCTGTGCCAGTCTCCATACTGTTATGGAGGGAGCGGAGGAGCCAGAGATGCCTCCTCAGCTCGCTTATATTCTGGAGGGGAAGAAAAATTCTGTCTCTTCTACAGCCGTATCAGGTGGCTGCCGCTGCTCTGTTGAGGTGATCTTAGATTTTTTGGATGCCTGTGTAGCATAAGAGAGTCAAATTCTGTTGGCTTTCTTGGGGATGTTGTTTTATCAGTAGACTTATTGCTGTGGGTGAAATTATTATAGTCAAATATATTTGTGTGTCTGTACACATAAAGCTGTGGAGATTTGATGGTACATAAATATAATTTTTTACTTATATAGACTTAGTCTTTGCCTTCACTGTGTTCCTAACTAATTGCATTTCTGTTCTTCTTGTGCTGTCAGCCACTGTGGAGATTTGTAGATAACGTGCAAGATGAAAGACTGCTGGTCTACAGATCTGAAGATATCAAAGACTTCTCACGATTGCAGTCCCCCAAAGTGTGTGGTTATTTAAAGCTGAACGAAGAAGAACTGCTGCCAAAAGGACTGGAAGACATGAAGCAAAATGAAGGTGAGTGTCTGTACCTTGGGAGAGCGGCATCTTTGGAATTAATGCTTGCTTGAATTCTGGCTGTGTAGGCACGTAAGATCAGAACCTGGGCAATAATCTGTGTTGCTACTTCTAGTTTAACTATTAAAGCAGCATTCTTCTTCATGCCTGCTCCCCATCCAAAAAAGCCCCAACAACTGATGAAAGGAAGAAACTGTCACTAGGGGCATGTTTCTTCCAGGCTTGTTGAAAGGATGTTTGACCCTACCAAAGTGTAGGCTAAGGAAAGGAAGCTATTTCATCAGGCCTAAGTAGTGTTTGTTGTGATAGCTGGTGGCAATGTAGGCAAACATTAGAACAACTTTATACTTCTGTGCACTGTGCAGCAGGACCTGTTTGGCCTCAGTGGTCATTCTAAGAATCCATCTTGAGCTGTGATGGGTTTTTGAGAGTTTTGGGTCCCTCTTTCCTCTGTCCTCAGCTGTGGGGATAATGACTAGGAACACGAGGAGAGGTGTTAAGACTGAGGTGATGGCCGTAAAAGCTCTGTAGGTAAATCTGTTGAATAACTCAATTTCACTCTTATATGTTCCTTTCCTTACAACAAGTTTAAGGACTGTTACGAAGACAAAATTTAAGAATAATTATTAAAAAAAACCAAAACAAAGCAAAAAAAACCCCACAACAAAAAACAAACCCAAAACCAAACATCCCCCGCTCCCCCAAAAACCCACCCAAACTCACGTTTGTGTCTTAAATAAGGGCAGTAGATACAGCAGTGGCAGTTTTATTGAGTGTTTATTTAATTGTATTTAAAATGTTCACATTAGCAAGCATCCATCGGAAGAAAAGAGCTGTTCCGGAGAACTCCAAAAACACATGCAAGATGTTAGTAGTGGCAGATCACCGTTTTTTTAAGTATATGGGCCGTGGGGAGGAGAGTACTACTATAAACTATTTGGTAAGTAAATATACTCTCTTACAATTTGCTGGAGTAAATGGAAGAAAAAGTGTTCAGTAGTTAACAACATACAGCTTATACTACTTTTCTACAATGTATGTATTTACATCATGACTGTGTGTGCTTTTCACCTGGAAAAGTGCTAAATCATGCTTTAAAAATATTTCTGAATGGTGATACTGTAGTTAAATAGTATTCAAGTTTCATTTATAAAGAAATCCCTTCCCTTCATGTACTTCTTGTAAGAAGTTCTTCTAAGAATTGTTCTTTTTCCTGTCAGAGCTTTAGAGTCTCCTGGGTTTTGAATTCCACTGCAAATGATCCAAGCATCTTTAAAGTTCAAGCATGTTTAAAGCTCATATGAGAGGCAAAAGCAACTTGTATAGGTTTTTTTTCAAATTCTTCCAGGATTCTCTGTCCAGAACAATAAAATTGAAGCAGGCGCGGTAAACAATTCGTTTGGTTGTACATGGTTGTACAACCCCAGCAGGCAGCTCAGCCCCACCCAGCCGCTCGCTTACTCCTCCCCGGTGGGACGGGGGAGAGAATTGGAAGGGTAAAGGTGAGACAACGTGTGGGTTGAGATAAAGACAGTTTAACAGGTAAAGCAAAGGCTGTGCTCACAAGCAAAGCAGAACAAGGAATTCATTCACTGCTTCCCATTAGCAGGCAGGTGTTTAGCCATCCTCAGGAAAGCAGGGCTCCATCACGTGTACTGGCTACTGAGTAACCCAGCCAAAACTGGTACAATGGGGTTCTTCTCTACCTGACAAGTTTTTGTGATATAGAATGCCTGCCCACAGCCTTTCAGCAGAAGTGGAGAGTATGGGTTTGGGGACTCAAGACAAAAACAAATGAAACCACTTTTGGAGGCCTGTTGTTTGTCAAGAGTCTCTTTCTGAACCTGAACCTTTGAAATGCTAGTCACTCTGTTCCATCTTTGCTGCCTTTTGACCTTTCTGTCCCCAGAAATGTTTACATTCCCCAGGTAACAGAGCCTCAATTCATGTATTTGCAGAGATGCTATTACCTCAGCATCTGACACATGACTCTTCCAGGCTAACCTACTGTTGTGTTTCCTGGGTAGGTGTGTACTGTAAACAACACAGTGATTGGAAATCTAAAACATAAACTATTATGGAGTGGCTCTGAAATGTCACTTTTCATTCTGAGCAAGTTTGATCGTTTATATTTAGTAGAAGGTGGTTTTTAAGAAGATGAGAACAGCATGAAAAGGGAGGTATTGATAGTGAGCACTGATGAGAAACTTTCTGGAACCTTGTGCTTGAACCATAATGAGGAAAATAATAGGTTTTTGGCTGGGAGAGGGAAGCAGGCCTCAGGGGTCAGTTAAACTAGTAAAGCATCGTGCTAAAACAAAGCAGTAAAAAAACCTCCCTCCTCGGCCCTTCCCCGCAAAGAAACCTGGAAAACTAGTGTATGAACAAAGCGTCTTCCAAGATGTCTTGTTCTTGATATTATCACTCCTCCACTACACAAATGAAAGTGATAAATGGGAAAGTTTGTACTCCTTTTTTATGATGGAAAATTTTCAGGGATATTTGATAATACTCTCTGGATCCAAGTGCTTTTGTTTTTGGATCAGTGAGTATATCTGTTGTGTTATATGAGGTTCAGTTTTAATTTGAAGTGAGTGTTTCTAGATAAGTATGTTGCAACTTCTCTGAGTGTCTTGAACTTTATTACATGAAAGCTTGGAACTAAATATCTTGTTTTTCTTTTCTACATAGATTGAATTGATAGACAGAGTAGATGACATCTACCGAAATACTTCCTGGGACAATGGAGCCTTCAATGGGTACGGCATACAGATAGAGCAGGTATTCAATGAACTCTGCAAAGGGTTTTTAATTTGAAGGATAAGAACATGTTTTGGATATTAAGGTTTCTGATTATTTTATCTGGATTAGAGCTAAAATAATCATATCCGACATGATCAACTCCAGCCAGGAGCATGCTGAAATAGCACCTTGCTAGAGGTAGTGTTAATGATTTGAAACAGCATGCCCATTTTCAGTTCCTCGCAGCTTTTGAGACAGGAGTTTTCAGGGAGAATCTTTCTATATTTAACCTCAATTCAAAGGTGCTTTTTCCCAGAATATGAGCAATTCTTGTTTCTGTCAGACATACTCTTATGCATGTATTTAATGTTTGTGTCTATGGCTAGTGCTTAGCTTACAAAGTCTGAGTGGGCCCCAAACACAGATTAAAAAAAAACACGACTCTTGCCTGAAGAGCTTTAGTAACTCCCCTTAGACATCACGATGTCATGATAGTGTAGAGGCTGGTATAGGGTGGACACACAGGATGTAGCGATTACAATTTTTATGATGGCTCCTGAAAGTTAGTGCACAGAAATCTGGAAAAGGGCATTAAAAAGAAGAGGAATCTTTCGGCTTGGAGTACTGCAAGAGCTGTGATGTGAAACACGGGGACTCATGGTACAAGCTAGCTGCCCCTTTGCTGGGAAAAGGTTTGCAGGAACAAGGAAGGAGAGTTAATTGGGCAGGGAGAGGGAAAGAACACGATGCACTAATGTTACTGGGAAAGTAGCAATCCTTTAAAATATGTTTTGGTTAGCTAGAACTCTGAAATGGTTTGGGGCTATTTATACTAGATGTAAATCCTGGTTGTATTTGGGTAGTCTTTTTTGATAGAGTAACATGCATTTTAAAGCAGAATGTTACAGTGAAAACTGTTGATGTTGCTCTATAAAATGGCTTGTGTAGTTGCTTATGATGTAGTCAGTGTATCTTAACCAGCAGAGGCTGAAAATTTAACATTAGAAGCATGCTGAGTCTGAATTTTTCTTCTTGCAGATCTATTGAGACATTTAAGATTACATTGAAAGCTTTTCTGTAGCTGTAAAACTGATCAAAATTCCTCTACATTGTTGTTGCCTTTTTTGAAATGTAGATTATCATCCACAATGAGCCAAATTTTGTAAAACCTGGAGAAAAGCATTACAATATGGCAAAAAGTTACCCAGATGATAAGAAAGATGCCTGGGATGTGAAAATGCTGCTAGAGGTAGGTTGTAACCCTTGAAAAATTGTGCCCCTTCCAGAGAATTACACATTCATACAGCTGCTCTGTAGTAACTGATGAAACTCCTCTACTTCCTTCACGTGATGTGTAGATGTTATGCAAAGTCAAACTAGCTGATGTGCCCTGTAGTCAATGGTAAAGGGCTCCATTGCATAATTATGGAGCACACACCAATTAGAATTATTAATATGTGGCCTGGGTCAGAAAGGCAGTCCTGATACGTCTGGCCCTGAGACTGGCTGCCTTGTGACCTTCGTCAAATTATTGTACTTGGTTTTCCCCTCTTTGTGAAAGGGGAAATGAATAGACAAGTTATGTAAATGAATGTGTACAATGTACTTGGGTATTCATTTAATTTTCTACAGCTCTTAGGACAGATAACAGCTGCTTTTTTCTGACTTAACCAGATCTAGAAGGTACCTGTCTGGCTCATTAGATAAATGTTCTTATCTATAGACTTCTAATATGCACCGTAACGTGTCTTACAAAGATTTGACCTTTTTTTTTTTTTCCTTAAAGCAATTTAGCTTCGATATTGCTGAGAAAGCAGCTCATGTGTGCCTTGCTCATCTCTTCACGTATCAAGATTTTGACATGGGAACGCTTGGATTGGCTTATGTTGGCTCTCCCAGACCTAACAGCCATGGTGGCATTTGTCCTAAAGGCAAGGCTTCCTTTTCTTCCCTCTCAATTGCGGGTTGAAAGCTAGTTTTTGTTATTTGTGTTTAAACCTCTTCTCCAACTTTCACGAAGCATGATGTGTTATTTGCATAGACTCTAGTGGCTGGTTTTTGGATAGAACAGATGGCCGTTTTGTTGGCTGGAGCTGGAAAAAGAAGGGAGGGAAGGATAAAAGTCACTAAGCTATCTTGTGTGAACAAGCTGGCTCACCAAGCCCTAGACCAAGGGCTGCTTTGTGTGGGTGCATCTTGCAGTGGTTCTGGAATGGCAGATGCTGTTGTCTTGGAAATGTCTTATATTTTCCCCTTTACTGCAATACATGAGCTGTTTGTGCTGTTCTTGAAAGATTCCCCACTCCAAAAACTGGCAAGAGGCAGGGTCCCGCTGGTGAGCCTGAGAACACAATAAAGCTGTTCATATCCCCAAACAAGTATCCCTCTCTTCCCCAAAAAACCCTGAAACCCAAGAAAAATGTTTGGCAATTTTGATTTGTTTCTTTCTCACTTCTGTAGCTTATTATAGTCAAATTGCAAAGAAGGACATCTATCTGAACAGTGGCTTAACCAGCACCAAGAACTATGGGAAGACCATCCTCACAAAGGTAGGAGAGTATTCTCTGCAGAGCGTGAACATTCAGTGTACGTACGTGTGTGTTGGTGATGTGTGCCATGGGATTGTGACAAGCTTCCGTGCTCTCTCATAAACAAGCTGCTGGCTTTTCGATTGAGTTGGATCCCTGGAGACAAGGATGTAGGTCTACAAAACCAAAATCATAGTTTTTTGTTCTTGCTGACAAGGGGAGTCGGGACTGAATGGAATTGAATTCCCTGGGGAACAGTAATGAGGAAACGTAGCCAGCGTCTAATAGGAGCTGTAGTTGTTCAGATACAAACAGGATTTTGACATCCAAAGATGAATTTAAATGTATTTTGCTTTTAAAAAAAACCAGACAAACCCTCAACAGAACAAGCAAATATTATACAACAAGTAGACTTCCAATAAAAATAAAATTAGTCTGCTGACTCAAATAAGAAAAAAATGACGTGTTTGCTGTTACGTACATCTACAACATGGAGGTGGATGATTGTGTATGCTTGGTCTGTTCTATTTGCAAGGTAGGGCAGTGAAAGTAGTGCACACAAAGTAGGCTGTTTAGTTTGGGCCTTTTAATGACATTTCTCCACTTGAATTTTTGTGTGTGTGTGTGTCCTGAATGAGTAGAGCAGAGAACGGTACAATAGGCAGGGCTTGTTAGTGCTAATACTAAGCCTAATTTCAATTTATGAAATTTCAATTTATGAAATTTCAATTTATGAAAAAAAAGGGTTTTTTCATACTTGATGAGATAGTAAATACATAAAGGCCTGATTATGAGCTTTGTCTCACTTGTAAAGATACCAGATTAGTGCCTGTGTTTGCATCTACCAAATCTTTGTAGTTGGGCATATTTCTCTTTTGCTGACTTCTCAGCTGTGCTTTTCTGTAGCCTGATTATAAAGGGAATTCATAATTGATGTGTGGGCTAAAACTTGGCACAGAAGCTGTCAAGAAGCTAGGGAAAAAAAAGACAGTGAAGCTTTGTGTGAGAGGTATGTTGACAAAGAGCTCTAGCCGTTGCCATGCTATTTGCATTTGTTGTTCAATCTCCAAGCTGGAGTTCTGCCTTGGATTACAAAGGAAATGGAGGTTGCTGTCTTCCCAGTGGCGGTCACAAAGCTTGGGATGGGGCAGCGGGAGCATTATGGATTGGTTTCACAGGGAGAGTGTTGCACGGTGTCCACTTGGGTTTTGAAAGACAAAAAAACCCCCTGCTTAAACCCTTCCCCAAATTAAACACGATGAAGCACAGGAATGATCTCTGGGCAGCTCTCCTGTCTCTGGCTCTCGCATTAGCTATGCCTACGCTGGGTACCGGTGCTGCTTGTTGCAGTGCTTGGTCTGAGCTGAAATGACGGTTAGCTCGTCAAACATGCTTCTCTCTCTCGTGAACTGCTCAGTCTCCTTGTGGTTAACTTATTTCTGTGCTAGTTTTACTTGTGGTTGTCACCTTGTGAGCATGACACCACCTGTTGGTCAAGGCACTGCAGGGAGGTGTGCAGCGAGGCAGAGCCGGTTTGGGATCCTCAGCAGAGGGAGTCCCGTCTTGCATAAACGATGTTGGAAATCCATCCCTGTTGGGCCACATTTGTAGATGTCTTTCCTAGTAATCATGCAATAAAAGAGCTTATTCAGCACTCCTAATGTCATCATCCATTTAGAAGAAATAATTCTAATGGCAAGATATGTTAAACAAGAGATTGACTAATCATAGTAGCTGGTGTTTGTTTGGATTGTTTTTTGTTTCAACTTTTTCTGCCTTCCAGCTATTTCAAAGCCAATTTTGATATTTTAAGTGTCTGCATTGCATTGAAAACAATATTGAATCGGTATTCTAGGGCAGCATTTTGCCTTTAACAGTGGTTTAGTATTCAAACCTAGTCCTGGAACTTGCTTTTGGAAATGCAACATAATTTTACTTGACTTTATTTGCCTACTTCTAAAAAAAAAAAAAATGTTCACAGGGAAATCAGTTTCCATCTCAGTGTGTCTTAGAATTGCTGGTGGCCTGGAAGTAGCTGGGATCTTCTGTCCTGTCCTGCTCGGACTAATTTTTTTCAGCATTGCTTTTTTCATCTTCAAAAAAGGAGGCTGACCTGGTTACGACGCATGAACTCGGACATAACTTTGGAGCAGAGCATGATCCCGATAGTCTGCCAGAATGTGCCCCCACTGAAGACCAGGGAGGGAAATACGTTATGTATCCAATTGCTGTCAGTGGAGATCATGAAAACAATAAGGTATAGTGGCATAGTTTTGCTTCCACGTACAAGTTTCTACTATGGTCAATGACCCTTTGCATGGAAAGTCTATTTAGTTAATGATTCCCATAGCTTGAAACCATCAGGAATGTAATGGATTAGCCATAAGAAGAAAACATACTTGCGTGCTGTTGGGTTCTCTGCAAGATAAGTTCGTCTTTGGATTCTGAGTTTCACTGGAGGTCATAGCATGTCAGGTGCTTTTTTAATGAGTTGTTTGTAATTAGCTGTGGGTGCATGCACCTAAAAGCAAGTCATCAGCAAGAGTCAAATACAGGACCTTCAGTACCGAATAGTATTTGGATGGTTCATAGCTATTATTGTTGGAGAGAGACTGCCAGACGCCACAGCTGTGGTGCTCGCCAGTCTGAGAAGCTTGCACTGGCAGCGTGGACTTGGCATTGTGCCTGTTCTGCAGATGAGAAACCAAGATAATCAAGGGAATGATTAGTCTGCAGTCTAGTCTGACTTGTGGTTCACGTCTAGCCTTGCTGCAGAGAGGCAGTGCAGTCTCTCGCCGTTGCTACAACTTTGCAGCCCTTCCTGGGGATGGTTGCTAGTGGTCCTGAAGCTGTGGGAGAGCTAGAGTTGGCTCTGTGACTCTGAGCCAGACTGCGTGCAGGTGTCCCTGGATTGTAACGTAGCAATGTCCTTTACGGACCCAACTGTTACTTTCCCATCTGAAATTTTTTCCAAGGTATCAAACTGGCAGTATAGAGGGAATAATTGCTTTCTGACACACAAGAATTTGGAGGCGTAGGGAGGCTGAGGCTGTTTTAGGTGCCACTTGGTGACAGAAAGGTACGCTCCTCAGTGCTGCTCTTTCCCCTTGTGACTCTCTAGATGTTCTCAAGCTGCAGCAAAAAATCCATCCATAGGACCATAGAGATCAAGGCCCAGGAGTGCTTCAAAGAGCGCAACAACAAAGTGTGTGGGAACTCCAGGGTGGATGAAGGGGAGGAATGCGATCCTGGCCTCTTGTACCAACAGGCTGATCCCTGCTGCTCTGCAGACTGTAAACTGAAAGATGGTGCCAAATGCAGGTAAGGGGAGATAAGCTGCAACTTCTCTTACACAGGAGAGAATGATGGTCTGGGCTGAAAGCTCTTAAAGCCACCTGCAGTGTCACAGACCTGTTTCCTGGCTTTAAGGCTAAACATGTGAGCTGAAGCCAATAAAGGATTCCAGGAAAGTGTGATGTGTGCATGCACTGGTTGCATACATTAATTTTTATAGCATTCTGTTACTTTTTCTGAGAAGTGCCAAGAGCTACAGACGACGACAACGATGTCATCGTTGTTGTTATTAAGCAAACTCAGGCATTCAAAAAAATCAATATTAAAAATTTGCTGTGCAAACACAATTTTTTTTGTATTGCAAGGTGGCTTCAAACTGGGATCATATACTGGTATTTTCAAGACTGCTGCAAAATGTGTTTGAGCAGACAATACAGTGACTGCACTAAATGAGTCCTCTTTCTGTTCTTCCTGCTCTTTGGGGTGTTTGTGGCCCTGTTGCAATGCAGTGTCCAGTCTGTTTTTTCAGAGTCCAGCTCTGCACCACGTGACAGTAGAGAGCTCATGCAACTCCTGTTGTTTAGCAAGAAATTCCCTCAACTTTAATAACCGTGTTTGTACTAAGGGCCGCCTTGCACCAGATGCAGGACAGAGAGAATAAAGAGAGCGCAGAATAGAGTAGTAAACCTTCAGGACAAACGGGGAAAAACGCGGGGGGAAGAAAACAGTGGAAAGTCTTGACCAAAGTTGCACAGCAAGTAACAAGAGGATCGAGGTGCCTTGAATAATATAAGGATCCCTGTGTTGTCTCTCAATATGTTGTACTTTCTACCTGCTTTTACCTTTAGTAAGTAGTGATGAAGAGTAAGAGTGAAATAAGAAATGAAGAGTGAGTGGGTGTGTAGAAAGGTCATGGGAGAGGGTAGAGAGGGCAAGGGTTTTGAATCAGTGAGTCAGTCTCCAAGAAGTAGCTTTTTTTTTTCCCCCAAACATCTTTTTTTTTCACTGGCTTTGTCATGCTTGTACTTCTTAAAAAAAAAAAAAAGCTTAATATTTCTTCCTTTTATTTTGATCTTTCCACAGTGATCGGAACAGCCCCTGCTGTAAAGGCTGCCAGTTTGAAAGTGCACAGAAGAAATGCCAAGAAGCCATAAATGCCACTTGTAAAGGAGAGTCTTTTTGCACTGGTAGGATGTGTTTCTGTCCCCTTTACATTAGCTAGCCAAGCGCTCCAGGCTCAGTGTCCTGTTCGATCTGCTTTCAAACTAGTGCCCTTTGTTCATCCAGTACATGTAATTTTAGAGACCAGTTAAGCATCACGAAATTGCCCTATAATGAGTGTCATTGTAGTTCAGGAGTCACTTGATGATTTACTGTCCAGAAGAACATGAAAAATGTTGATTTTTTTTTTTCCTTTTTTCCTTTTTTTTCCTTCCTTCTTTCTTTCCCTTAAAAAAAGAAAAAGCAAAACAGGGTGTGTCTCTGGGAGGGGACAAGAATGAGCTGAATCTTGCCATAGAAAGGGTGGAATTACTGCAACTCTGCTTTACTTCCCCACTTGTTTACTTCCTCCTCACAATCTTTCCTGGAGGCAAGGAGTCAAGTCAGAGCTCCTGCTTTGCTGATGGCACCTCCAGGGTCTGCTACCTACTCCTTGGTCGCCAGAGTGCCACAATGCCTGAGTTGTTGAAAGCCTCCAAAGCTGCTGCTGCCTCTCGGAGGAGCTGGCAGGCAGCCTGCAGATCAAAGTCAAGAACAAGCTATCGGGGTTCCCCCTGGGATGAGTCTGGATTTCCTTTGTTGTCCTTTTTTCTTTTGCACGCTTAGGTGCTCTGCCCTTTACTCTAACACAGTCCTCCCACACTGTCGACCTCCCTCTGTAGGGAACAGCAGCGAGTGCCCCCCTCCAGGGAATGCTCCAGATGACACAGTCTGCGTGGACATGGGGAAGTGCAAGGATGGGGAGTGCGTCCCTTTCTGTGAGAGGGAGAAGAACCTACGGTCGTGTGCGTGCAACGGTGGGTGACACGGGACCGAACTGAAATGCGTGCTTCAGCTCTGCTCCTCGGAGAGTGCTGGCTTCGTTGTGGGCTTGCCTGTTCAAGGGCTGAGTTTATGGTTTCTGAAAAAGTTTAAACTGTTGGTTTTTCAGGGCTAGCATTTTCTGTTTGGAAAACAAATATAAATGTCCTGTTGTCCTCTGGTGGTCTGGGTTTGAAGACATTAAGATGAGACTTAATGGTCTGGCACCCCAGTTAAAGGAGAGGGCACTCTCCCACCCTTCACTGCCTCTGCCACAGGCGGACGGGAGGGAAGGTCTGTTCTCTGATTGTAAAGAGATCTCAGCCAACCTCTGGACCAGGCATCTGGCAGAGGAGTGGTAGCCTCCAACAAGTGGTTAAAGAAAGATTTCGAAGAGGTTAAAGTGCTGTGAGAACATAGGATCCCCGAGTCCAGTCCCCTGCTACTGCAAACCTGCCTGTCATATACTTCTGTCCATAAGCTTTACTGTTCGCTTGCTCTCCGTCTCAGCTGTTGAATCTGGTAAAGCAGCTGGGATCAGGAGGAAAGCTTCACAGGGGCAGTGCAGGGAAGTGCTGTGAGCCCCGTCATTTGAGATGGAGGGCATAGCCAAGGAGAAGAGTGCCTGGAGGACCCAAAGTCCAAGAAATATTTAAATCTGTGTCTTGGACATGTTTGGAACTTCTTCACCTGCCTGTTGATTCCTGCAGTGTTGGAGTATCAGCTTGGAGAGCTTGGTCCCACTGTGTCCCCTAATACGTTGCACAGGGCGTCTGGTTGAGTTTCAGGTTTGGTCATCAGAGTAAGTGAAACTGGGCGAGTTGCACAATCCTGCCTTCTCTATGGGGAAGCTGGGCAGGAACACGGTCAGCCAGGGGACACGTGGGGTTATGCATCTGCGTGGTTATGGGTTGCAGGTGACTCTTGGTGCTGCCGAGGAATGAGTTTGTTGCTTTATTACAGAAACGGATAATTCCTGCAAGGTGTGCTGCCGGGACGAGCAGGATAGGTGCATACCGTACGTCGATGCTAATGACCAGTTCCTGTTCCTGCGCAAGGGGAAGCCTTGCACTGTGGGCTTCTGCGATACAAATGTAAGTTTTCCCAGATGTCGGTGCACTGCATGCTCTGCTTCTGTGGCTGGGTGTCTCAGAGTCCTCTGTGACAAGGACTGTGCTGGTAAAGAGAAGCCAAAGCTTGACGTGGTGCTGAGCAGGGTGATACTGTGTAAGTACCTCTCCGCAGGGTAAAAATTAAAGGGCGTCTGAAGCTGTAGGTGGAAGTAAGTTCTGCAGAGACATGTGCAAGGTGAAGCTGTTACCTTCTGCTGTTGCTTACTGCCCCTTTTGCTGCTCCCCACAGCCCAGCCAGCCAGCAGTTTGTGCGAAGGAGGTGAACAGCTGAGCTTACGACAGCACTCGTGTTTGCAGTGCTTGCTATTTCGGCTGTTCACGTTAGCCCAATTAATTTTGACTAAAATAATTCAGGTCAGGGAGCAATCGCATGAAAATCTAGCTGGCAGTATCTGAAGAGGGCAGTGAGCCCATGGCAGGGAGACTGGTGGGTTGCTGGCAGTCGGTGTCTGTGCCGTGGTACAGCTGCATGGACAGTCGCGTCACCTGCAGACCCCAACGGTTGAAGCTAAACTGGGTGTTGGCAGAAGTGAATTTGGGAGGGCATGCCCCAGCCCTTCCGCCGGCAGAACTGAAAGACCGATGATCTGCTGTGTTAAACCAGCACAGCCAGATCTGGGAGTCTGTCTGTCTGTAAACCTTGGGCTCCTGAGAGCTGCAGCCTTCTCGGTGGGTAACGGGAACTGAGGCTTCTGATGCTTAAACCTCTCTGAAACTTCAGTTTATGTCCCCTAACATGGGGCGAGGGTGGGGCGGTTTTTGCACATTTCAAACATTAAAATGTCACCTGTTTCAGACAGCAATAGAATTGAAACTGTTTTGCCAAAAATAAAGGCAGTAAAAATGGATTGCTGCTACTGAGCATGAGTGTAAACCTGTCAAGTGCTGCTGTGTCTGTAGTCTTTGTTTCATTATCATCTTTGTATCTTCTTCCGTCTCCATCTTACGCTTAGGTAGTGTAAGATTGTTTTGTAAATAAGTGTTTACTTCTGCAGGGTAAATGCGAGAAGCAAGTACAGGATGTGATTGAACGATTTTGGGATTTCATAGACCAACTCAGCATCAATACTTTTGGTAAGATACGTAACCATATCCTTTGGGGTTGTTTTTAGTTCATGACATGAACCTAACTCAGAGGGAGTTAGGTGGCTGTTCTTATCCACCTGTACGCAAGGGTAGCTAGTAGCTGTGTTTCTGATGGATATAAATACATTTTTGCCTAAAGTTTGACAATACTGATCTTGCCTTTTAAAGCTGAAAGGATGGGGGATCATTTTGCATTTTTCAACTCCGTTATTTTCTAGGCATCTTCCAAGCTTGTAAAGGAGATGAGAGCTTCTTGTCAGAATACCAAGAAGTAGGTCAATTAGAGAAAAGTGAATAAAAGACAGTCCTTTTAGAGGTCAGCTAGATTCGGCACAGTATAAAGTGGGCCTCTCAGTGGGATTTAAATGTCAGCAGACTGGGAGAGGAAAACTTCATTTCTCTCATTATTTAAGAAAACCACTGATGTCACGCACCTCAAGCTGTGTGCCTGTACTGAGTCACTTCCCAGCGATTCCGAGCGGGCCTCCTTGGTCTGCATCCCCACTGTGCGATCCAAGCAGATAGCCCCCCAGTGTCGCACTCTGTGTTACTGGAACCATGCAAAACCTGTTAATAAGCTGGTGCTGTATAATGACGGGGTAACTCCCTGTGCTCATGGTAATGCTGTTGCCTCCACAGTGTAATTATCTGGGTTTGGGGCTTTCAGTCTTGAGTTCTAGGGTCAAAAAATTGCTTCTTAGGTAATTGTTAAAGCTATTTAGCCTGCTCAGGTAGAGGCAGTTTGTGTATCTTTAACGTTCCAATATTTTGTTTGTGGAGGCAGGTAGTTATCACTCGACTGTAAAATCAGAATTTGGTAACAGACTCACTGTGTGTCTTGTATAATTAAAAGGGGCAGCTTGGCTAACTCAATATAGCCTGTTCCCAGTCAACTCATATTAAATGTTACGGCCTGTCAGCATTTCTCATCAGAGAAGAACAGAGGAGAAAAACTGTTATTGTTAACATATTGGATACAGTTTTCTAAAATTGTATAATTTCTTTTATCTTTGCCTAGTCCTGCAGCCTGTGCTTCTCTGAGCAGTTCTGTGGCTTGGCTTGCATGAGCAGTGGCTGCAGAATGGGGATAGATGTGTATGTTCATGAAACAGTATTTGGTAGGTAACTAACAGATTTGAACTGATTTCACAGGGAAGTTCCTAGCGGATAATATAGTGGGCTCTGTGCTTGTCTTCTCCTTGCTTTTTTGGATTCCTCTCAGCATCCTTGTGCATTGCGTGGTGAGTAACCTGTCTTTGAGATGACTGCTCTGTTGGATTGAGCTGCAAGAGAACACCCTTCATACATGGAATGGCAGATGTCTGTGGGAGAAGGTGGTGGGAAGCTTTTAGCAACCCCCAGGGCGGGAATCCAGAATATGTAAAACTTACTGCTCCTTCAATAGGCAAAACTCCTGCTAAACTCTGCTGGGCTCTGGCAGACCCAGTGCTCCCATGACTATTCCCTGGAGTCCTTCCCGTTCTTTCCTGGGCAGATTTTCTACCTCTGCCTCCCGAATTCTACCCAAGTATAATTTTGGTAACTTCCATTAGAGTCAAAGTGTTCTAGAGCCCTGCTAAGAAATAAGACACCCACATTTTGTGGGGAGAGCCAGAGCGGGAAGTGGTCTTGGTTGAGCTTGGGTGGATGGGTAAAGAGAGAGAGCTCATGGCAACTGAGAGCGTGGACATGTGGTGTGATGCCGACAGCAGTGTGGGGTTAGAGCAGAGGGCTGCTGTGCCCATGTGCACTCCTGGGATGGATGGGAAGGCACGGGAGGTAGAGGAAAGAGCCCCACGCCCTGTCCCTGCAGGGAAAGGGGGACAGGGACCTTGCAATTGGGAAACTAACTTTCTCATTTTGTGTGTGTATGTTCTGGTTTGCTTTTGTTTGTTTGTTTTCCAATAGGACAAGAAATTGGACAAGCAGTACGAGGAGAACACGAAGTCCCTGTTTTGCCCCAGTGTAAGTTGCTGTCTGAATATGAATTGGCAGAAAGCTATCCAATATGTATTAGAAAATCTGAGCCTATGGTGTGTGCAGAGTATTTATCAAAGAAGTGATAATAGACAGACCTGGAGCCCCATGCCTCACGCTGCAGATGGATGAATCAATTTGAGGGAAACTGCTTTCTTGAACAAGCCTGTGTTCGATGTATCAAGCACTGCAGCTTGGCGAGGTCTGATTCTTCCTTCCTGTAAGAGCTGTGCCTTGACCTTGTTGACAGAGCAGCTCTCTTGCAGCAGCCACAGCTCCCGGGGCAGGAAGCCGCTCCGCTCTGCGGAGCACCGCTGTGCGTAGCGGGCGCCTGTGTACAGGGTCCCCTTGGCATGTGCCATTCGACAGCTTCAACCACAGACCGCTTGTTCCCAGCCAAGTGGTGTCAATGAAGCATGAGGCTCAGCGGGGCGACACTGCAGAAAAATCTCTGCAAAATGTGGTGTCTTTGCAGAATCATTGCTTGCAGGAGTCAGCTTCTAGTGGCCAGATGTGCTAGAGCCTTCCAGTTGCTTATGGGAGAGCTGGCCTCAGGGTGCAGGGACCTGTCAGTGATGCTTCTCACCTTGTGAAACTTCTCCCAGCTGAGTTGGGAGAGGATAAGAGCAAAAAAGTGCCAACGTAAATTTTAATTACAGTCCAGCACGGGGCACCTTCTGACATAGATCATCTGGGTGTCCTGTCCAGTGCTTTGACAACCCAATTCTTATTAATAACTGAAACATTCAATTAAGGAAATGTCATTTTGTAATGGGAGGGGGGAAAAAAGCCTTGCAGAGCTCCTGTACAGGCACTGAGGGAAGCATACTGAAGTCAAAGACTGCTGAGGCAGATTGCCTCTCTCATCTACTCTGGCGTAATTGAAGGCGGTCTTAGTTCGAATCCCTCATAGCTGGTCTTGAATGCTGTCGTGGTTTAACCCCAGCCGGCAACTAAGCCCCACACAGCCGCTTGCTCATTCCCCCTCGGTGGGATGGGGGAGAGAATCGGAAGGGTAAAAGTGAGAAAACTCGTGGGTTCAGACAGTTTAATGGGGAAAGCATAAGCTGCACACGCAAGCAAAGCAAAACAAGGAATCCCTTCACTCCTTCCCACCGGCAGGCAGGTGTTCAGCCATCTCCAGGAAAGCAGGGCTCCATCACACGTAACAGTTACTTGGGAAGACAAACGCCATCACTCCAACCGTCCCCCCCTTCCTCCTTCTTCCCCCAGCTTTATATGCTGAGCATGACATCATATGGTGTGGGATATCCCTTTGGTCAGTTGGGATCCACTGTCCCAGCTGTGTCCCCTCCCAACTTCTTGTGCCCCCCCAGCCTACTCGCTGGTGGGGCGGTGTGAGAAGCAGAAAAGGCCTTGACTCTGTGTAAGCCCTGCTCAGCAGTAACGAAAACAGCCCTGTGTTATCAACACTGTTTTCAGCACAAATCCAGAACAGAGCCCCATGCTAGCTACTATGAAGAAAATTAACTCTATCCCAGCCAAAACCAGCACAAATGCTGTAAGAAAAGTCACCTTGGAGCTTTATACCTGAATTGCATCGAGAAAATTCCAGAAGGAGGTGTAGCACCAGAGCATGGGTATAGTTAATGGGCTCCTTGCACAAGCAAGAGTTCAACAAACAGATCTTGTGTCTTTTGGATCTGCTGAGGATTGAGTGGTTGGGAAATGCAGTACTGGTAGCCGGTAAACATCTCATCCTGCCCAGTATTAGCATTTACTAAGGTTTGTGGGGATTTTTTTATCCCCAGAAATCTCTGGGTATTTTCCAAGCCATGCTCAAATAGAAGCAGAAATCAGTGGGCTTTAACTTAGTCTGGGTTGCAGAATTTGGCTGTGATCACAGTGGTCCCCCTCTGGTCTTTGGCCCTGCGTTCAGTGCAACTTCTTGCATGTGAAACAGGGAACTCTTCAGGTCGGAAGAGTGGAATAAGCTGTACCTTTGACTGTTTCCCTGCACTGAGCTCTCGGTGTCGTCTGGCTTGACCCTGCATTTCCAGCCCTAGGTTTTGCCAAAGCAGTGTTGGACCCCAGGGGAGGTGGGGCCGAGTCGTCAGCTCTGTCCCAGTGAGGCTGTCACCCGTGGCGCTTTATATGGAGAAGGAACAAGAAGAGATAAAAAGGCCTTTCTGCCTGTAGTGCTTAGTGTAGCTGGATTTCTTGAGGGGAAAAAAACAACACAACAGATTACTTCTGTTGGATGTTCCCTTGCTCTTAAGTAAGCGTAAATCTACTGTAAAATCCAAAATCTTAACTCCTTTTCCAGCACGGTGCAGTGGGTTCAGCCTGGCTAGTGCAGGGTAGCCTGTAGCGGCACGAGGGCAGTCAGCATGTCTCTGCTGGGAGTGGAGAGGAGGACACAGTAGCCTTTAAACGGCTCTAACAAGTGCGGGTGCTCCTCAGAAGGTGCCTGTTGCCTGTTCCCCTTAAAAACAGTGCAAAAACTGAACCCTGGACTAGATCCTGGTTGCTCTCCCACTGATGTGGCTGCTTGTGTCTTGCAGAACGTGGAGATGCTCAGCAGTCTGGACTCTGCCTCCGTTCGAATCATCAAGCCCTTCCCTGCAGCGCAGTCGACAAGCCGGCACCAGCCGCTGCAGCCCATCACAGCTGTGCCCGCTGTCGCTGCGGCACCGAAACAGGACCACCAAAGAATGGACACTATTCAGGAGGACCCAAGCACCGACTCTCACATTGACGAGGACGGGTTTGAGAAGGACCCTTTCCCAAATAGCAGCTCGGCCGCCAAATCTTTTGAGGACTTGACAGACCATCCTGTCATTAGGAGTGAGAAAGCTTCGTCCTTTAAACTACAGCGCCAGAACCGGGTGGACAGCAAAGAAACAGAATGCTAGTGTCTTGCTGCCTTCTAAATGTATGACTTGTGTCTGCAAAATAAGGATCTAAAACCATTTCATTTATATAAATATAAATATATGTATATATATTTTTGTGAGGGAGTGGGAGAAATAAGGAAGTGACCTACTGCAGATGCTGGTCATGTGTATGACCTTCCTTAAATTACGTTTATTAGAGCATTATATCTTTTAAAAAGGAAAATCCAAACTAAAACTGGCTTGTTTTTGAAGCTTTTTGGATTTGTTTTTCCATTTCCTTGACCTTTAACATTTCCTTCAACCTGTGGTGCAAAACCGAATATCCTGCTGGATATTGGATTGTGTATATCGGCCTTTTTTATAATTTAATATTTTGTAGTCTGACAGCACTGATAGACAAAATTAAGGGGCTTTTAAAAACAAAATGAAAACACTGCAGTGTGTTCCATATAGCGTAGATCATTTAGCAGTTTAAGGTACATGTAAGCAAAAGCCTAAACATGCTTCGAGAACAGAACGAGGGTAATGAAACAGACAAAAATAGTGTCTTGCAGCATTAAATGAAGATGCATAATTGGAATCAAGAAGCTTAAGATACACAGCTTCGAAATAAAAACAAAAGGGTCCTGCAGAGGCTGTTAAACCTTACGCGATGCACGGAAGTGCTCCTCTAGCATGAAGGTGTTTTGCCTCTCACGGTGAGGTTGTCTTGTCTGCGTGTCTCCATTGCAGAGAAAGGCTTTCGCTGGGAGTTTCCCGCTCTGCACCGAGAGGCTCGTGTGTTGCAGGTGTCTGGTAGGAGAAAGCAGCCTAAGTGGAGAAATCATTTATGCGGATGAGGACTCTTAACCAGCTGTTCACAGCGGTGGTTTCGGTGCGGAGATGTTTCTCCGAATGTTATTTTGAAATAGGTAACGCTATTGTTGAGGTGTTCAAAGAGCTGAGCCTCAGTTTTCTGTGGCCTGTGTGGCCTTTCGAAGCTCCTAC